TGTGAATGTTATTGACTTGCATTTTTTTAAACTCAGATGCAACTTATTCAAAGTACAATAGTCAACGAGACGATTTAGATCTTCCTGAAGGTTACAGCAGTCATTCAAGTTGTGAATTTGTTTAAAGACTTTTAAAGCGTCTGCGTACAAGAGGAAGTTACTATTCTTAAAGCACTGATCTATATCATTGATAAAGATGATAAAAAGCAATGGTCCTAAAATAGAACCTTGCGGTACGCCCGAAGTTGCCACGATATAGGCGGAAGTATAACCCCTAATAACCACCCTTTGAGTTCGGTTATCAACATATGATCGAAACCAACGCAAGAGGTCTCCTCTGATTCCGTTATAGGCAATCTTTCTAAGGAGAATTTCGTGGTCAACCTTGTCGAAGGCCTTGCAGAAGTCAGTGTAGATTGTGTCAACTTGAGTGCGCTGATCCATACTTTCAAAGAGGAAATTACTGAATAACAACAAATTAGACTCAGTCGATCTTTGTTTCACAAAACCATGCTGTTGCTTTAATATAATAGTATGTAACTGAGGAGAAATTGCATTGTGGACAAGTCTTTCCAACACCTTCGACACGGTTGACAACAAAGAAATAGGGCGATAATTACGAACATCATTTTTGGTTCCACATTTATAGATGGGGGTGATATTTGCACTCTTCCATATTTGAGGTACAGTTGCTTCTCTCATGCATTTATTGAAGAGTATCACTAGTGGGACAGATATACATTCAGCCGTCAATTTAATAAAAAGGGGTGGAATATTGTCAGGTCCATGCCCTTTGTTTACGTCGAGTGTCTTCAATATCTTGACTACATCATGTCGTGTAAAGCTAACATGAGATATTATAAAGCCACTGTTGTTATGTTCACTCCGCATAGAGTTACTATCAAAGTTATGGATGGTACTTGACTCAAATACGGAACTAAAAAAATTACTGAACAGGTTACATATTTGCTCAGGATCATCAGACTTCAAGTCATTATAAGTCATTACATCAGGAATACCGCCAACGTCTCCGTTCTTGCGGACATATGACCAAAAAGCTTTTATGTCCTGACGTATACTTTTCTCTACCGTATTTATATAGTTATTAAAACATTCCTGAACATTGTTTTTAAATCGTCGACGGTATAAGGAAAAGATCTCATAGTCTGAAATATTACCAAATTGTTTCCATTTAACCCAGGCCTTATTCTTATTTTTAAAAATGTGTTTTAGTGGGCGAGTAAACCATATTGGAAATTCCCTAGACTTCACAGGTCTTAGTGGAATGTGTTTAGCGATAATTTGATATATTTGCTCATAAAATAGGTTGACTGCTTCCTCAATAGGAGGTGCGTCTAGCAAATCATTCCAATTGATAGCACTGATATCATTATTAATAGCTTGGTAATTGCCTTCAAAGAACCTGTCACGCGGAGCTTTATTTTCTATTATAGGTGAGCAATTCAAATTGAGAGGTGCTGCTATCAGTAAGGGCGGGTGGTGACTATCAACGGGTAGTAATGGCGAAAGAGCCACTTCAATTTCGCACTCTAAAGAATTTGAAATAAATAAGTCTAGAATATTGCCACTACTGTTCTTGTTAACATTATATTGAAATGATCGTAGATATGAAATAAAGTTAATAATGTAATAGTCAACATTACTACTACTTTTAGTAATGACTGGAACTACAATTGAATTGCTATTAAGCTCCCATTGAAGTGAAGGTACATTAAAATCTCCAATAATAAATATGCTATCGATAACTTTCTGAGAGACAGCACATTCAACAGCTTTTAAAAAAATGTTTATAAGTCTGTGCTGTCTGGCGTGGTGGTATATAAAGCGCACATATTGTATGAAACTTGTTATGCATATTTGATGGAAGACGCAGCAAAACATACTCAATATTAGGTGACAAAGTATGGGACACGTTCTGTTCGGCAGAGCCGACCGTATCACTCAAACAAAGTTCATAACGGCGTGCTGTGAGCCCGCGGCGCACAGCTATGAGCACGCCGCCACCGTCCTGTTTCCCGGTAGCCTTAAAGTTACGGTCACATCGAAATATTATGTAGCGACTATCTATTATTGACACATCAAGTATTGAAGGTATAAGCCAAGTCTCAATCAAAACAATTATGTCGTAGGCCTCCGAAAGAACATTCATATAAAGTAAATTGAGTTTAGTACGTAGACCCCTGCAGTTCTGATAATAAATCGACAAATTATTAGTAGCCATTTTTTATAATATGATTATCTGCGAATGTATATATATGAAACGTATTCATGTAATATAATAATAAATTGTGTATGCGCGTATGCCCGACAATGCCACTCCACCAATCATAATACCTATTTCTTATCAATGTCATATAATTATTAAGCACTTTGTTAAATAAAAGCAATAATAATAACACATGTTTTTTGTTTGTACTATAGGAACAATAATAAAATTCAGTAGTCAGCGCAAGTAACCAAATCAGTTCAAAATAATGGAGTCCCCGAGATTTAATCACTTGCAATCGCCTAAACAACTCAACACAAAGATTTAAATCATTATTTGCCTCAAAAAGGCTTCTTGTTATATTTATGTAACTTGTAATAAGTAAATGTACTAGAATTATAACACTGACGCGAAGTACATAATGGACAAAATAGGTATTTGCTACTGTTTGCGTGAATCAAATTCAATCCAATATATAACAACATCAGCCACAAACTGTCTTAAGTCAAATTTTGTATAATATTAAAAACAACTAACGTATTATTAGGAAGTGATAATACAGAATAAATGTATTTTTCATTCGCATAATCGAATACGAAGTAGATGTAGGTACTTACTGCCATTAAATATCGACAAATAAATCGAAGTTTCACCACTGCTTCCGTGCACAAAATTTTCTGCATTAAACGAGAATATCTTACAAAATCATTTATGCAAATTTTTCCATAATTTTGCATTAATAACCCTATAATTGTAGAATACTTAGATATGCAGGTATGCCAACAATAATCACTGCGTCCTGAGCAGACGCAACGAAACCACAGAGCACCTCTGAACACAGAGGCAACACTAACTATAAAAAACTCAAGTAATCTTTTGAAGTAAATATAACAAAACACTGAAAGAAACAAACAACTGATTGCCAACTGAACTCTTAAATAATTATGCTGATTTCTTCTGAATTTTTTGCAAATCCTCTTGATGGCGTATAGCAAAAACCGATAGAGAACGTCGTACGAGGTGAGATGTAAAGGACTAGCGACCGCGGCTCCCGTGTGGACGTTTGCGCGGTGCGCGACAGAATGAAACAAAGGAGTTATGGTTACAATCACTCTGCTCCACATCTACACAAGACAGGAAGCGGCTTAAACAGCGTTGAGACTACGAATGTTTGGACTGGTAAGGTTCGAAAAAGCAAGACATCTCAACAGCATACTGAAGGAATGGGTAAACACTCCGCTCATAGAAGCGGTATGTGACAAAATCATACCTGCCTTTATCTTTGACAAAAAGTACAGAATACATCTACTGGTAGACAACGATCCAAAGGCTCTCATGATCTACAGCGACGGCTCTCCAATCTCATCGGGCACGGGCGCGGATGTTCTCTGAGGACCTCAATATATACATCGCTTTCCCCTTAAGCCCGTACAACATAGTTATCCAAGCATTGTATGTATGGGCATTATACTGGCGGCAAGAGCGATCCTCTCCAGAAAGGTAACAGAACAAGAAATACGAATACTGTCCGACAGCAAATCAGTCTTACAAGCCCTAGATGCCTCTTTAGTTAAATCGAGCCTCCTACAAGAATGCCACCAAACCTTAAACATGGTAGGGTCAAGCAATTCTATAACTAATGGATCAATGGACATAGTGGATCACGCGGAAACGACGCTGCGGATGAGCTGGCCCGGAAGGGGTCCGATACGACCCCAACAGGTCCCGAACCAATCGTCCCGGTACCGGTAAGCTGTCTCGTCAATAAAATCCGCGAGCACAAAGCCGCCCTACACCAGCAACACTAGCTCGATCTTGAGGCGTGCAGGCCAAACTCTCTTTGCCATGGGTGAACGCTACCCTCTCCAAGAATCTTCTACAGCTAAGCAAAGTTACATTGCACATGGTAACAGGTGCTATTACCAGACGTGCCCATCTTAACAGACATCTTTTTAACTTAGGAGTCATGGGCAGTTCACTATGCAGAGGATGCATGGAGGCAGAAAAAACAGCCACTCACGTTCTGATGGAATGCAACAGAGTGGCCGAATACCGGGCGAAATACCTCGACGCACCGGGAAACCTCCAAGAAGCAATCACCAATGTGAAGGCCCTGGGGGCCCTGACAGAGCTGGGCTGGATGGAGTGATTCCGGCTATACACCTTCCTCACGCAAAACAGGCGCCATAAGGAGATTGAGTTGCAGAAACGCCCATTGAAGGAAGATAAAGAAGAACACAGATTTTTTGTCAAATTTACACAACCGGCTGAAAATTGGTGTTGGCAAAGCAGTCTTACTCAAAATGTTGAGGATCAGGAATTGTTTGGGCCATTAATGTAGCTAGCAGTATACATCAGACCTGATATTGTATTCACTAGTGGTTACTCCAAGTCAATTCAATAATTGTTTTATGGAAGATGTTAATTAATAGCTAGGTCCGTCCGCCGTAGCATGAGCACCACAATATGATGTAAAACTCGATTTTATCAAGCTCAATTGTCAAATTACTTTGGTGTTTGCCAGTAAGAATAAAAACCCGCTCATCTTTCCTTTAATTGTGCTTCGAGTAGCAAAGTGAAATTTTTGTCACACAAAGTATTCATTATTAGAAACACATACACGAAATCTTGTATGGCAGAAATGAATAGAATTTGAGAGAAAAAACAATGATAAATTATTATTTTTGTACCTTACCCCGCCCTCTGAAGGGTTCTACCTAACTTTCATCCCCAGAAATTCCATTTAACAGATTTAATGAAACTATATAAAAGTTTACTAGAAAAAAAAACGCAGACCAGGCAGCAGACAGAAAAAAAACATGAGATTTTATGAACTTTTAGGTAAGGTTTATTTTTTTTAAACACATTTCTGCTAATATTCTTTATTTAATATGTGGGGGGAGTCGGAGGCAGATACCCCCCCCCCCCCTCCCGCCCCTCAAACCTACCGTACTTAAAAATTGTATATTTAGGGGATTTTAAAAAATACTTAGGGGAAAATTTTGGTAAGGGTTGATAAAACTGACCACAATTGATGGAATAAAGTACCTAAAAACCTGTTAAAATGTAATTTGTGGTGCTACGGGTAGTGAGGTGGGGTAAATAAATTAGATACAGATCATTTAGATCGGCATGTACTCACTTCACCTTCTACAGCTGCAACCCCTTCCTCTTCACCTTCAATGTCATCAGCGTTAAGAACATTTTGTTTCTCTTCTTCAGCTCCACTATCCTCTTCATCTGAGTCCAAAGAATGCTTCTTCCCCTCTTTTTTACATTTTGTTTGATCTTCGTTCAAAGCTCCATCTGATTCGAAGGCCATGGAAGCTGATCTTTTGGCCATTTTTAAAAAGTTATAGCTTATTTTAACAACTAATTTGATTAACTAACTATTCCTTGAAAAATATTATCTTTATTTAGGAATTTATTTAAAATCTAAAATGAATTACATGAATACTTGAGAATATAAATAACCACAGATTAAGTAAGTCTTTAAATAACCACAGATTACTAACTAATACAGGGTTTACACTAACCAATTTTAGGGGTTGTGTAATGTGATCCTTAACTCACAGGGAGCGTATTCCATTTAGAAAAAAAAGTCGACACTGTGTTGCAATGTGTCGACGATACTATAGCAAAAACCTAATGCCAACTAAAGCTTGGTAACTTCAATACTTTTCATTGGTAACACTGTTACAGTTGGCATTAGGTTTTTGCTATAGTATCGTCGACACAGTGCAACACAGTGTCGACTTTTTTTTCTAAATGGAAAACGCTCAGGGACACGATCTAAGGCGATTGGGTACGGCCAGAGTGCACTCAGATTCAGATTCAGACTCAGAAAACAAGCGCGAGAAATAAACAGTGCAGTTAAAGCAGGGTGGTCATAGTGGCCGCAGGCAACCTGCTTAAACTACACCGTATATTTCTCGCGCTTGTTTTCTGAGTCTGAATCTGAATCTGAGTGCACTCTGGCCGTACCCATTGGTGCGATGCGGTGTAAATATCACCCAAGCTAGGGGCCACGCCCATCGCCAGCCCTTTCGATCGGTCCCTTACAATTGGGTAGTGTAAAGCCCGTTTAAAAATATGTTAATGATTAGAGTATATACCAATGGAGAAGGTGCGAACTAGTGTTGCCGAACTATCGATATGAAAACTATCGACAGTTTAAATCGAAAATCATGTACCCTATCGATAGGCCTATCGATAGTATCGAAACTATCGATAGCACAGAACAAGGCAATACTATCGAATGAGTGCAATAGTATCGATACTATTGTAGTTCGTTAATAACAAACTATTGATAGTATAGATAATATCGATACTGTTGATTTTATCTGCAACAATACTATCGATAGTATCGATACTAGCGATTGTTTTAGACTATCGATAGTCTACCAATTTGCAATAGTATTAGGTATGTTTTAACAGTATTGTAGTTGAGGACTATGAGAGGCCGATATATATATTTTAATAAACATTTCTATCGCGCTGTGCTAATTCTAATAGTTGATTGTGATTGACTATAATACCTGAAAATTCTAAACAATACTATTGCAAGTTGTTAAACTATCGATAGCCGATCGATTGTCATACGATTGGTCGGCTATCGATAGACTATCGATTAATCCTCGATAGTCGACTATCGATCGGCAACACTAGTGCGAACGGCTGAGTTGTATTTTTGTCCTTTTTTTGCTTACAAAATGGCGATTTCGTAAATAACATTCACGACAAACCGTAACTTTTGAGAAAAAAATGATTTTACAGTTTTACGAATGAGAAGTTTTGCCGAGGCATGTATGGTGAACTATATGTGTTATTTATAAATGTTACCTGCCTGTTGTTAACTGCCTATATAACCAGTTTGCAATTTGTCTTTGATTTTAATTTGTTTTTTCTTTTTTAAATGACTTTGTCATTCTGTCGAAATAAACTGAATTGAAGAAAAAAAAGGCGGGAAACGTTGAAGTAGGCGGGCGCGTTTTTACCTTTGAAATTAATTTTATTAAAATTTAATTGTTTTTCAACCAGTTGAGTAGCGTAGTTATATTTAATTGTATATTTATATTTGTGTAGTGTATTTTTAGTTACTTCATCGCCTGGTAAGTCATAATATAATATATACAATGAAGGAACCCCCTGACCCGGGGGATCCATTTCTAATACAGAACAATTTACGGTTCCCTCTGTCGCTTATAATGTGACTGTTATGAGTCAAGGCGAATCAAGTATAGATATTGACCAAACAGTCAATACTAAAGTAGATTGGACTGATCCGCCGACTAGGAAAAGGAGTAAATGTATTAAAATATGCAAAACTTGTAATAAGAAAAAGCGGAAAAACAAAATGGCGGGAAAGAATGTAGGATGTCTCTGTGTAGATTCTGAAAGTTCTATCGAGTCTGCTATTACTAATCATAAACAAACTACCCCTCATACGGTAACCCCATTAAAAGGGAATAACATAAGTCAGCCTCAACCTGATGTGAGTAGTCCTGTGAATAGTCGTAAATTTTATGACAAAAATGATTTTCCACCTTTCATTGTGCATGTCCAGCGTGAGCAGACAGCTTTTAATGACTCCTCCACCCTACACCCTGTGAATTTTGGTTATTTTCTTAAAAAACATAACTTTCAAGCCATAGTAGATGGCAGTGTTAAAAAAATTGGGAGAAACCGTATTGTCCTTGCCTTTAATAAATTTGAAGCTGCTAATAATTTCTTAAGTGATACGAGATTACAAGACAATAATTATAAAGCTTTTGTGCCTTCTTTCAACATAACCCGAATGGGTCTTGTGCGTGGAGTACCACATGATTGGACTCCTGATGAAATAAAAGAAAAAATCACTCTTCCTGTAGGCTGCGGAGAGATAATTAAAATAAGACAAGACAAGAAGAAGTGTTAACCATAAAGTTTTTATTGATAATACTGTGACATGGAAACCTACCCAGTCAGTAGTTATTATCTTTGATGGCCAAGTACTTCCTTCCCGTGTATTTTTATGCTATAATGCATTAGTTATAGACCGCTATAAATATCCAACAGTCCAATGTTTTAACTGCTGTCGTTTTGGGCACACTAAATTGCAGTGCAGGTCTAAACCTCGCTGCTTTAAGTGTGGTCAGGATCATACTGGTGATACATGTTCAGTTGAGGAAGAAGATGCACAATGTTGTAATTTTTCTGGTTCCCACTTTGCTAATAAACGAGTTTGTCCAGAATACGAAAGACAAAGGCGTATAAAAGTGACTATGGCAAATGATAATACTTCTTATTTTGAGGCAGCAAAAGTCCATCCATCTGTTAATAAGTCTTACTCTGAGGTACTAACATCCCAGCCAACTAAGGCATCCTCTAATTTTAAAACTACACCAATTAAAAATGATACTCAACATAATTCTTATAAAAAAACTGTCTTTATGAAACCTAACGTTCGTTCACCTTCTCTTCATATGGGGTTTAATCAAGCAGAACATATGAATATGATCAAAGATTATGATATGCCCAACAACAGTGGTAATGGTACTGCTATTATACATGAATTTAACAAGAATTCAAATTTGACAATTACAGATGTAATTGTCCCTCTAATATTTTTTTTAACTCAATCTAGTAATTATGAACCATCCCACGTTGCACCTTATTAATAAAATTACACATTCAAATCATGGCTCAATTGGCCAAAGTTATTCAATGGAATTCAAAGGAGATGACAAGATTACCAACGAGCTCATAAAGGAGACTGTAGACATCATAGGACCAAGTTTAACCTGCCTATTTAATGAGATCCTACATAAAGAGGAGATTCCTAAACAATGGACTAAATCAACAATAATTCTCATCCATAAAAAGGGAGATAAAAACCAGATAGACAACTATAGACCTATTAGTCTCATGTCGAATATGTATAAAATCTTTGCTAAAATCTTACTCGGAAGACTAACAAAATGGATGAACAGCAACCCAGAGAGCAAGCTGGTTTCCGCAGAGACTTCTCCACTATCGACCATATACACGTAGTGAAACAAGTAATTGAAAAATACAACGAATACAGAAAATCATACTACTTTGCTTTCGTTGATTATAGCAAAGCATTCGATTCGTTAGATCACAATTTCTTATATAGAGCACTCCACAAACAGAGGGTTAACCATAAATACATAAAAATAATTTCGCAAATATATGGAAGAAAGAAATGTCAAAAGTTCAGCTAGAGAAAATTGGAGAAGAGTTTAGAATAGAGAAGGGAGTAAGACAGGGGGACCCTCTGTCTCCTACACTGTTTTCTGCAGTTTTAGAGGAAATATTCAGAAACCTAGATTGGGAAGAACTGGGAATAAACATTAATGGTACCAAATTACACCATCTACGGTTTGCTGATGATCTCGTATTGTTTGCGGAATGTCCAGCAGAGCTTCAACACATGCTGATAAAACTTGAGGAGGAAAGTGAGAAAGCAGGGTTAACCATGAACCTGACAAAGACCAAGGTCATGACCAATGGTCCCAAAATAAATATTCTCATAAAAAATGAACTTATTGAATACGTTGATGAATATATATATTTGGGACAAGTGATAGCAACAGAACTACAAATGCATGGTCATGATACTGGTCCCTGAAACAAATAATGAAAAACAATGATATGCCTAGCCTACACAAAAAGAAAGTATTCGACACTTGCATACTTCCAGTACTCACCTATGGATGCCAAACATGGTCCTACTCAAAACATACAACACAAAGGTTAAAAGTATGCCAACAAGGAATCGAAAGAAGTATGTTAGGTATCAAACTAAAAGACAAAGTTCGTCTCTCTGCCATAAGAAAAAAGACGAAAGTGGTGGATGTAACCAGAAAGGCCAGAACACTGAAATGGAGATGGACTGGGCATATCATGAGGTCGAAGAGGAACAAGTGGACAAAAGATATCATGGAGTGGTACCCCCGAGATGGTAAATGTAGAAGAGGTAGACAATACAAAAGATGGGAAGACGATCTACCCAAGAGTTGGCGACGAGCAGCCACAGATAGGAACCAATGGGTCAATTTGGAGGAGGCCTATGTCCAAGGACAACCTGATTGTACACGTGCCGATGTCAGCGATTAAACCAAAAAAATTAATTTTAAGTTAAGTTATTTTTAAAATGTACAACAGAGAATAAAGGCTATTTTTATTTTTTATTTATTTATTTATTCAATGGAATTGCCGCAGCATCAATAACAAGAAAACTGATCTTATTTACTTAATAAATACATACAATCCATTTATTATTTCACTATCAGAAACCTGGTTAAAATTAGGATTTAATTTCAAAATTCCAGGATATTTTTGTTTAAGACAAGATAGAGCAGATGGCCATGGCAGTGTTGCTCTATTGATAAAGAATTTTTACTAATATAAACATTTTGGATTACCTTTACCTTGTAGCGAATACTCTGCTATTGCTGCAATTGTA